AGTTCCTTTACCCTTTAATATTTTGGGGGCTACTTCCAGCACTGCCATGACCTGGACACACATGTCCATGGCTGTGGGCGAGTCAATTAACACTTCCCCCACCTCACAGGGCCTGAGTAAATTCAGTTCCCTGTCCAAGAACCCCTCAAGCTCTGAAAATTTAGTTTTGAGACACTGATGTCCTGTTTTTTGAAACTTTTTCTACAGGAATAAAGTTTACAAAAAGGAGTTAATCTGTTTCATGGAGATCAAGTTAGCAAGCCTCAGTCTGAGAATAAAAATTAAAGGACAAAAATATCTTCTACTTGAAAGAATACAATTACTGAGACTCTCTTTTTTTTTTTTAATTTTTTTGACAGGGAGACACACAGCGAGAGAGGGAACACAAGCAGGGGGAGTGGGAGAGGGAGAAGCAGGCTTCCCCTGGAGCAGGGAGCCCGATGAAGGGCTCAATCCCAGGACCCTGGGATCATAACCTGAGCCAAAGGCAGGGGCTTAACGACTGAGCCACCCAGGCGCCCCTAATTACTGAGACTCTTGACACACAAGGTAATAGGCTGAATTTAGGGAAAGAAATTTAGCAACTGAGATCATTGAAAGAAAAACAGGTAAGTGACTCCAAAAATAGACTGTGAAGAGAAAAGTCAAGGAAGTTCTTTATTAAGAGAAGCGTTTTGGACTAGGCCAGGAGATCCCGAAGCTAGGGGAGTGAAGCCCAACTAACTACAAAAGTGTTTTGATACTGAATTAAGATCCCAGATAATTTAGAAGGTAAATCCCTAATTATGATCTATACATTTTCTTGGGATTAGAAAAGTTGATACATAATAAAAAAAATTTTTTTTAAAGAAAAGAAAAGCTGATAATAGGGGATGGTAATAGATTCCATCTGTCATGACAACTCTGATTATACTGATAATAATTATCTGCAAAGTAAGACTAAGAAGCTCAAGAATAAAGAGCAAATTATGTATTATCAATGTCTGCATTGGATAGGAAAATCAAGGGTGGGGACATTTGATGTATTTGTCAACCTATTCTATAAGAAATTTAAGAACAAATTTCGTCTCCCCCTCTGATTCTCTCCCTTCATTTTTCCCTTCCTTCTCCTAATGTCCTCCACGCTATTCCTTACGTTCCACAAATAAGTGAAACTATATGATAATTGTCTTTCTCTGCTTGACTTACTTCACTTAGCATACTCTCCTCCAGTCCCATCCATGTCGGTGCAAATGGTGGGTATTCATCCTTTCTGATGGCTGAGTAATATTCCCTTGTATATATGGACCACATCTTCTTTATCCATTCATCTGTTGAAGGGCATTTCAGTTGCTTCCATGAGAGACTATGGACCCCAGGAAACAAATTGAGGGTTTCAGAGGCGGAGAGAGTAACAAGGTGATGGGTATTAAGGAGAGTACGTGTTGTGATGAGCACTGGGTGTTATGTGTAACTGATGGATCATTGAACACTACTTCAAAAATTGATGATGTACTATACAGTGGCTACTGAGTGCTGAACATAGTAATAAAAAAAGAAATTTAAGAACAAAGAAGAAATTTGCCTTATTAAATTCACTTGGATATAACCATAAACTCTCATTACCCCTACCTTAAAATATCAGATTTCATGTATGATTAAATTTAAGAATTTAAAGCAGAAAGTTAAAGTGAACATCAAAAAGTATGAAGACAAGTAGCACATAAAAGAAAATAAACTTCACATAGAATTACAAATGTTTAGGAGGAAATTCCTTAAGAGTCAACTCAAAATTTATCTCACTAGGATTCTATGCATCTTAGAGTTTGTTTGCTGACAGCTTCTCCTAAAATATGATTTGCTTTCGTGTTTATTTAACATTTTAGCATGGCTATTTTAATGAGGTTATTTTCATTGTTTCAAAGAAAGCTCAGAGAAAAATCCAGAGGTGCTTGGCAATAAAACACAATCTTGATTCTCAAATTGGAGTTTGAAAAGTTATTTCAGTTTGTATTTCTTCTACTAGTGAGGAGTATAAATATCAACCTTTTACAGATCCAAAATCTTTTCACCAGGCATTCCAAACAAAGATAAGATACAAGACAAAAGCACATGTGGACGTTTTAGAGGTCTTAGATAGATAGATAGATAGATAGATAGATAGATAGATAGATAGATAGATATTCATAGGTATATATGAAAGAAAGACTGGAAGTTATACAACCTGAGTTCCAATTCTCATTCTGCTGTGGAAAATTAGGTTCTTTACCTCTCTGGGCCTCAGTTTTTTACTCTAAAACAAAAAACTAAAGTGAAAGACCTCTAAGAACCCAAACAGCATGATTACAGTTGAGATAACTATATTAACAAATCATTACGGGCAGAGAGGACCACTATTTGAGACCCTCCTATGGAATGTTGCTGCCACCTAGTGGAAATATGCCTAAACTGTAGGGTCAGTCTTAAGAGGTGACCTCAGGGAACTAAAATCCACATGAGAACTATGAACATTGGGGTGCATGTGGCCCTTCTTTTCACTACATCTGTATCTTTGGGGTAAGTACCCAGGAGTGCAATTTCTGGGTCATAGAGTAGCTCTATTTTTAACTCTTTGAGGAACTTCCACACTGTTTTCCAAAGTGGCTGTACCACCTTGCATTCCCACTAACAGTGTAAGAGGGCTCCCCTTTCCCCACAACCTCTCCAACATGTGTTGTTTCTTGCCCTGTCCATTTTTGCCATTCTAACTGGTGTAAGGTGGTATCTCAATGTGGTTTTGATTTGAATTTCCCTGATGGTTAATGATGATGAACATTTTTTCATGTGTTAGCCATTTGTATGTCTCCTTTTGAGAAGTGTCTGTTCATGTCTTCTGCCCATTTTTTGACTTGATTATTTGTTTTTTGGGTGTTGAGTTTGAGACGTTCTTTATAGATCTTGGATACCAGCCCTTTATCTGTAGTGTCATTTGCAAATATCTTCTCCCATTCCGTGGGTTGCCTCGTTGTTTTGTTGACTGTTTCCTTTGCTGTGCAGAAGCCATGTGCACCCCAATGTTCATAGCAGCAATGTCCACAATAGCCAAACCGTGGAAGGAGCCGAGATGCCCTTCAACAGATGAATGGATAAAGAAGATGTGGTCCATATAGACAGTGGAATATTACTCAGCCATCAGAAAGGACGACTACCCAACATTTGCATCAACATTGATGGGACTGGAGGAGATTATGGTAAGTAAAATAAATCAAAGAGAAAGACAATTATCATGTGGTTTCACTTATTTGTGGAACATGAGGAATAGCGTGGAGGACATTAGGAGAAGGAAGGGAAAAATGAAGGGGGGAAATCAGAGGGAGAGATGAACCGTGACAGACTATGGACTCCAGGATTCAAAATGAAGGTCTTAGAGGGGAGAGGGGTGGGGGATGGGTTAGCCCGGTGATGGGTATTAAGGAGGGTATGTACTGCATGGAGCACTGGGTGTTATATGAAAACAATGAATCATGGATCACTACATCAAAAACAAATGATGTACTATATGGTGACTAACATAACATCATAAAAAATTATTTAAAAAATAATAAAAATAAAATGTTATCAAATTGCAAAAAGAACCTACCATTGCAATAGTAATTGATTATCCTCAAACACACTATATACCCACCATGCTCTAAGCACCGTACCATGTGCCCCTCAAGTACCTTAACTCAATACTAGTATGCAGTTCAATTCCGGGAAAGAAACCAGACCAGGGAGATGGACAACTTACTAAGCATACTGAAAATGGTGAATAACACTAATAAACAACTATATTTAGATAAGTGTGATGTAATTGAAAATAGGTAAGTCACAAGTTCACATTCAAGGTACCATTGTAAACAAATCAAATTTTTAAGTTCTTTTAAAAAGAGGCATCATAACATAACAAAAGAACAGTCTAGAAGAGTTTCACAGGTTAAAAGAATTAAAAATGGTAGTGTTAACACATGGCATGGGTCTAAATCCTGCCTATTTTCATATGTGTGGTCTTGCACAGCTCCACTGATTTCACATTACCTCTTCCTACATCTGTGAGATTCAGTCGAGTGTACCAGCCTTGTATGATCCACGGGGTGTGGATCATATGTGAAAACTACATGAAAACCATTATGTAAAAATTATTCAAATGGCACGAGTTATTGTTCTGATTTTTAAATTACCAATGTGTCTCAGAAGACACACCTCCAGTTGTAGTGTTCTGGTACCAGCTTATTAGAAATGCATGGTAATCCATATTATTATTGTGCCCTGCTAACTATATGCTTTCATTAAACACCAACTAACTACTGTACATGTTTTAATTAAAATGCCAACTAACTTGGACATAGTTTTTAAAAGGTTTTCATGTTTAGCAAATCTTGGCACAATAATTTTTTTATAAATGGTCATTGCTATCACTGTCACTTTTTATTATTTTGAGCTTAGTATTACTATGAACACTATTTGTGAATGATGTGATATTATACTTCTGGAAAATAGTTGAACATATTAGACTCTCTTGGAATTGTTAGCTAAGACTTAAACTCAAAATGAATCATTAGGCGATTGTAAGTGTTGAATCCTAGGGGTGCCTTGGTGGCACAGCTGGTTGAGCATCCAACTCTTGGTTTCGGCTCAGGGTCATGACCTCAGTGTCGTGAGATTGAGCCCCACATCTGGCTTGAGTTTCTCTCTCTCTCTCCCTCTGCCCCTCCCTCTTGCACTCTCTCTCTCTCTCTAAAATAAGTAAATAAATCTTCAAAAAAAATAAGTGTTGAATCCTAAATAAAATGAAAATATCCTTAACCATTGATATAGTAAAAATGGCAGTAAAAATTTTAAACTTTAAATAATCTTAGTGGAAATTAAAAAATGTCCCCTACTGTTAACAAGGCATTTTAAGACACATAAAAATCAACATTATCTCAAGTATGAGTTTTCCAAGAAGCCTTTGAACATTGTTTTGACTAAATATCCATGGATCTAAATTTCCCTCAGGAACTCTCAAAAGGAAGATCCCAAAAGAAGAATCAAAGTGCACTCATCTGGTTTCAGGACAATGGTGCAGCCTGAGAGGAGAGAAGTGATTTGGGAAAGAACCATTTTTTTATCACTTAAATCATTCTTCTGCCAAAGCCCAAAGAGGCTAGGCTCTTCAGACAGGGTAAGAGACTATTCTCGTAGCTAGGAAGGCTCAGAGTCACTTGGAGGTTCAAGATTATCTACTTCAGAAAAAAATAAATATATTATCAGCTTCATTTGAGCTTATTCAAATGCCCCCCATTCCAATTCTCATCAAAGTTCAATATTCTCAGTTTAAGAAACAAATGAATCAAACCTCTTCTTTTTCTCCCTCCCTCTCCAAACACATGAATTATTGACTTCCTTTTTGTTGCCTGTCTAGCCTCAAATTATTTTTCATTTGTACGTGGCCCTCCGTAGAATAAGACTTACATCTTCATGCTACATCTTGCTATACCAGAGTAAATTTAACAATTTTTAGAGGAAAAAGCCCTGTATCTAAATGTCTCTCTCAGAGAAATACAACTAGGTTTCTGTGGAAAGAGAATGGATCTATGAATGGAAGGGTACAGTTGACCTTATCAACACATTTACGTACAGTTGCATTCCAAAATAAATGCATGCACCATTCATATGCAGAGTTTGGTGTCACGTAGTTATGGGTTCAAATATTGGATCAATCTCTTATTAGCTAAAATTTTGAGCAACTTATTTAGCTTTTCTGCATATATATATAGTTCTGCTTTCTTTTGCAGAGTAGGTGCTTATCTTGTCTTCTATGTTCTGTTGCTATCCTGAGTTCATTCATCATGTACTACCACAAGAGATTTTGAATGGCCTTGGGGGATCAGAGGGGATAGCCATTGGGATGGAGTTTAATAAGCATTTATTTATTATCAGAGCATTTATATGAGTATGTGTTCTCCATACCACCCCAGAGACCAATTAACTACAAATCTGTGAGGTTTGGGTGATATATTTTTTTCTCTTTCAAAAAAGACCCTCAAGGGCAAATGTAATGAAACATCTCCAAGGAGAGAGGGGAAAAAAAAAAAAAAACCTCTCTCAAAATCATTTCCAATCCCAGCTTTGAAACATTTTCCCAAAATGACCCCAAATGCAGATATTGGCAGATACCAGAAGAGCTTCTTAAAGATTTTCTCTCTCTTTTTTCCATACATTTTTTCCCCTCCACCTTTCTGCCCACAAACACACATTCTATGCATCAAGTGGATATTTTTATTTCTGATGAACAAACCAGCCACAAGCTTGCTCTCCCAGCTCATTAGCACTTTGGGGATTGGAAGCAGTTACCGAAGCCTGGCTAGACTCCTTACAAAGCAAAACTCAAGACAGGCACCAGCTAAAGGACAGACAAACAAGAGGAAGACAGTGAGTGCAGTCATTCATCTTTTAATTTTTGTCTTCATGCCCACATTAATCTTGCTTTATAGAACAATTTAGATCTACAAGCCCATATAGATGACTAAGGAGTTCTTTAGATTCGAGTTTTTCTCCATGTACCTCTCAATTCTGTCTTTCCCCAAATTCAGCCACAATCTTATCTTGACACTGCTTTGATGGGCTTCCTGGACTATGTTTGAGCCCTTGCAACTAAAAAGAGAATAAAGAGGGAATGAAATTTTGGAAGGAATTGTTATACCCTTGAACAGAGCTCCAATTATTAGTAAGTGGTTTGAAAAGCGATTTGGAAGTGCTGTTATTGAAGCAGACTTTACACAGCTGATTTTCCAAACACGGCAGAGACCTCTAACCTCCAAAACCCTCCTTCTCTATTCTAACTGGTGGCCTGAATTTTACCATCTGAATCTTAATTCTTGGATTAAAGTTTTGGTGCCTTTTGAATGCTCGCCTTATGTCAAAAGAGACTCTTTCATTTCCATCAAGTATTTGTACATTTGAATGAAGGACAGACCTGGAAGAAGACCTTGAGGGCATCAGGCTCCTGCAAGGGTGAGGAGGAATCATAAAGTGGAGACAGAGCCCAGAGCAGGAATGACGGGGAGATCAAACGACCCACTCCTATTCCCCAGTTTGGCTGAAGTTCTCCTTGTCATTATACCGTGTATTTTTTTAATTTTTTTAAGATTTGTTTATTTATTTGAGAGAGAGAGAGAACTGGGGGGAAGGGCAGAGGGAGAAGGAGAGAGAGAATCCTCAAGCAGACTCCCCGCTGAGCACAGAACCTCATGCTGGTCTTGATCCCAGGACCCTGAGATCATGACTGGAGCCAAAATTAAGAGTCTCCCACTTAACCAACTAAGCCACCCAGGCTCCCATTATACTGTTTTTTAACTCCATCACTAACTGTGTTAAGCTCAGACTAGGCAGACTTAGCACTTTCTCGCAGATATTTGATAAAAGATGAGCTGAGTTGTAAATCAGCTTGACCATTTCCCGTCAATCTCTGAGTGTCTTCTATGGGCAAGGTACTGTGCTAGGTATCTGATTTTACTGTGTTAGCCTATCTTCACCAAGGCCCCGAAGACTAGTGTGATTTACAAAGATGCAGCTCAACATCTGTAAATGCAGTGAGGTCACTGGGCCTCCCGAACTCTCTTTTTTCAGCTGCTATTGATTATACCTATATGATAGGATTCGTAGGGAGTCCAGATTCAGATCAGACTAGCTCTCTACCCAGCTCTCTACCCTTCACTGCTGCCAGTGAAGATTTCTTTCTCTCTAAAAAAAGAAGCACCTCTCTGTGAGCAGAGCTCAGTGACATAAAGTGCTCCATAGAGCCCTGAAGATACCTTCTGTTTAATGTTCTAGGGTAAGATGGTTAAGATTCAGGGCATCAATGGGGAAGAATAAAACTCTGGATATGCTTTTCCTTCTGTTCCAATTTGTTCAGATTCACTTTCTGTTTCTGGGAATGGGAAATTTCATCCTTAAATGTGAAAGTTTTCCCCCTGAGGGCAACATTGAAAACAGACTTGCAGTTGACCCATCAACCCTGCCGCCCCCGCGCCGGATCATGAGTCTTCAACCTTACTCCCAAACACTTGTTACAAACCTACATGGCCCATCAGTGGACCTCTCATTTCAACCCACCACATGAGGGAAAAGTGTTTTCAAATAAGACTCTGTTCCTTAAAGAATTCTTTAAGGAATATTCACTGCTGATAGCAATCACAGTCCCAACTTGTTAAGCAAAGATATTATCTCAAGACCCATGAGCCTTTTGCACATTATCCTAAGCAATCCTCCAACAACACTGTTAAGATGTCACAATTATCCCCATTGTACAAGTGGAGGAATTGAAACTCAGAAAGCCTAAACGAGTTGCCCAACATCTCACACCTGGCAAGTGGTAGAGTCGGGATGAGAACCAGGCTTATCCTGAAGCCTACCCAGAATCAGAACCACCACCTTATTCCCCTCCTTTTGCTGCTAACCTGAATAGGTGCTCTAAACGACCTTGAATCATATCACAAACCTCAGGTTTTTACCTGACTGAGGGCTGAGCCTACATGAATGGGTGAAGGCTACAGCAGAGCTGTTTTGTTTTGTTCACAATTTCTCCATGTGACTCTACATCTGTACTAGACGATGCCAAACTTTGCTGCAGGTCTCTGTCTTTCCTTCAAGGGGAAAGAATCCTCTCCTGATTCTGGGATGTTTACACACCCTTTCACAGACAGGTGCAGAGCCTCTGAGTATAAAGCTTAAAACCATACTGACAAGATTGGGATAAGTGTGTGGGATCTCTGAAACTCTGCACAACAATGGCATGGTGATGACCAAAAGGAGCTTCACATCCTCTCACTATCCAAATTTGAGTGTTTTAGCACTGAAAAGTCTGTAGCAGAAACCATTAAGAGGGAGGAGCGTGGACCCCAATTCCAAGGGCATCTCCCTGTTTATAAGCTTCAAGAAGAAAGTTAAGGTCAATGACCTTGACTGGCAATGGGTAGATATGAATTGATTTATGAAAAACTAGGGATATCAAAATAAAATGGCTTTCTCAAACTGAGCAATTTCAGAGCAAATCGAGTATTACTTCCCAAACTGTGAAGTGACTGACTTGGAGTTACTTGTATGATATATGTAATTTATTGAGGGTTTGTGTTCTATAATACAAACACACACACACACACATATATATATTTGCACATGTAAGGTGTACACCAAAATGTTAAGAGCTCTTATTTCAGGAAATAGAATGTCATAATTTCCAGGCTCTTCTTTTCTTTTTTTCTTTTTTTTTTTTTGCATTGATCAGGAACTGATGGTGATTTTTAGTTTCAACTTTTCAGTTATATATTGATCCAATTATTGTACAGTGCTCACATATTGCTTTTAAGTTCATAAAATAACACTTAAATTTTGAAAAATAAAATGGAATTTATGAGATTCTCTATACTTTAAGAGGTAGGTAGAACAGGCTGAAAGTATACTTTAAGAGACAGTTAATGTAATTTTGTTGATTTCCAAATTGTTAAGACCCGAGGAAGGATCAAGATATGTTCCAAACCTATAAGAGTCATTCACCATGAGCCATGGGGTCCCTCTGACCACACTTCTTCTTCTGCAGGGATGGGACCTCAGCATCGGAGATCTGCTGACAGCAGGAGTTCTTTCCTAATTTATAGGGATTGAGACAGTGTGGGTGTGTCGGGGGGTGATGGGAATTCTTATCCATGTGAACTGGATGGAATCAATCCCTGATCTTGAAAGATGTTTCATACACTGACAATTCTAAGAATTTGATCAAGGACACTTTGTATTTAGGTTTAAACAACAACAGCAACAACAAACACAGAGTACTTACTATATATAAGTTAGTCGTGTCCTAAAGGAGATGATAGATAGATAGCTAGATGATAGATAATAGACAGGTAATAGATAGATAGATAGATAGATAATTGATATATAGATAGATACTAATTATGAAGTAAGTGCTATTATCTCTGATTTTACAGAGACAGATGGAACGTCCAAGTGACCTGCCCAAGATCACACCTTTACTAAGTGGTAAACCTGGGGACTGAATCCAGGTTGTCTAAATCCAGAGTCCCCATTTCCTAACAAGTCAATAGCTTAGAGCTAGGACTACAGACAAATTTGGAAATATAACTACATTAGTGTATTCAGATCTAATAGTTGACAATTGAGAGCACTTCTTTATACATATGGCCTAACGCTTTGAATTAAAAACATTCTAAATGCCTGATTGTCTCACAACTACAGAGCTGAACCTAGTCCCTCCATTAATTTCCCTGTTCCAGTATTGAAACTTGAATAAAGTTAGATGACTAGTTAATTCAGGGAATGACATGACTCATCTGGGACACACAAAACTGTCCTGACAACTTTTACCTGGGACATACTATGTGACAGTCACTTTACACACTTTGCCTTATTTAATTCCTAAAACAAATATATGAAGTAGGTCCTGTCACTCATTTTGGAAGATAAGAAAACTGGAGCCTAGAGATGTTGGATATCTCACACAAAGTGACACAGCTACTAAGTGGTAGAGACAAAAGATGATCACAGGGCGTCTGAATCCAAAGCTTGAGCTCACATCAATCACACTGTACTATATAAAAAGAAAACAAAAATTAAAACAATGACTAAAATTGCCTTCTGAGAGAAAGAATCTTTGCATAAAGTTGTGATTCTCTCAATATGGTATCCCCCTCTTGTGCATTTTGTAATTTTTTGTTGACTGACGTCACCTGTAATGTGGATTATCATTATTATGGCAGGTCTGCATCTTGTCCTTGGGGTCCATGGAAAACATGTCCACAACTAAGGCCTGGAACAGCTCTTCAGTGTCCATGTTCATCCTCCTGGGATTTGCAGACCATCCAGAACTCCAGACTCTTCTCTTTGTGACCTTCCTGGGTATCTATCTCGTGACGCTGGCCTGGAACCTGGCCCTCATCTTTCTGATCAGAAGTGACCCCCGTCTGCACACACCCATGTACTTCTTCCTCAGCAACTTGTCCTTCATTGACATCTGCTACTCTTCTACAGTGGCCCCCAAGATGCTCACTGATTTCTTCCAGGAGCAAAAGACCATATCGTTCTTGGGCTGTGCTGCTCAGTTTTTTTTCTTTGTCTGCATGGGTCTCACTGAGTGCTTTCTCCTGACTGCCATGGCATACGACCGATACACAGCCATCTCCAATCCCCTGCTCTACACTGCCATCATGTCCCAGGGCCTCTGTACACGCATGGTGCTTGGGGCATATGTCGGTGGCTTCCTGAGCTCCCTGATCCAGGCCAGCTCCATATTTCGGCTCCACTTCTGCGGACCCAACATCATCAACCATTTCTTCTGTGACCTCCCACCAGTCCTGGCACTCTCTTGCTCTGACAGCTTCCCTAGTCAAGTGGTGAATTTTCTCCTGGTGGTCACTGTGGGGGGAACATCATTCCTCATCCTCCTCATCTCCTACAGTTACATAGGAGCTGCTGTCTTGAAGATCCGCTCAGTGGAAGGCCGAAGGAAAGCCTTCAACACATGTGCCTCGCACCTGATGGTGGTGACTCTGTTGTTTGGGACGGCCCTTTTCATGTACCTGCGACCCAGCTCCAGCTATTCACTTGGCAGGGACAAGGTGGTGTCTGTGTTCTATTCGCTGGTGATCCCCATGCTGAACCCTCCCATTTACAGTTTGAGGAACAGAGAGATCAAAGATGCCCTGTGGAAAGTGTTGAAGAAGAAGAAAGTGTTTTTCCTAGGTCATGATTGAAAATATATGTCTCCAAACTGATAGAGAAAAATGATCTCTGGCATCTACCTTCACTTCTGGCATTGATGAGGGAGACATCTTGTGTGCATGGCCATTTATCTGCTGACCCCACCATGGATAGTCAAAAGGGGGAAGAGATTACTTCAGCAGAAACACCACCCCAAGATACCCTATCCTCACAATTGGTATTACAACAACCACCTTTTATTGGGTGCTTAATGTGTACCAGGCACATTATTTAATTAAATACTCACTGCAGCTCTATGATGCACACAGTATCATCCCTTGTGACAAATGAGGAAATGCAGTCCCAGCAAGGAAGACTGACTTACCCAAGGCCATACAGGAAGTCAGAGGCAGAACCCATTCAGACCCAGGGCTTCCTGACTCCAGAGCCCATGCTCTGCCCAAATGCTACCTTCCACATTCAACAACAAACAGCCCTGAAGTTGTACAAGTGTATGACTCTTACTGCAGGCATATGGCAGAACTCAAAAAGATACACTGTGTATGATTAAGGTGAATTAAAAGAACAAGATGCCTACTCCAGTCAACACTCTTCCAAGGCGTCCCTTCTGGATTCCCATTATGACTACTGAATAACTTGCCAAGACTGAAGGACATTACCTCTGACTGCCTTTCTCAGCTATGTAGGGGTATAGAAATTCTGAACCCCACAGAATCACATCAGTGCTCTTCTTCCCAGTCTCAGTCACCTAAACTGCCTAATTTCTCAGTATCTCCTTGATTTCTACCATGTCATCCCTCCACCTGTTCAGCACCTGACTCAATTTCACAGCATGCTGTCCTTTTCTCAACACTTTCCGAGTTCCTCTTGCTCTCTTCCATCTGAACCCATTGCTCCTATAAGATCCTTGTTTCTTTACCTGTATAGATTAGCCCTTGCAGACCACGATGAGTATTATCTGCTATCATCTCAGGAAGGTGCACCTCAGGCTCTCGCCTCCAGGTCATTCCTCCTTTATGGAGGGTAATTACACTGGAGTTGGCCAGCACAACCATTCCTGCTGGCAAATCCCTCTCTCATTCACTTGTGGCTCTGTCCTTTTCCCGGCACACTTTCCGATAGTGTGGGTCTATTGGATGTGCAAAAAGATTTTATTTGATTTTGTTGTTCATATAGGTGGATCAATTATTTCTTTCACATCTGGAAGACCATAAGGGATGCATGGGGAGGAAAGAGGATTGTCTCATGTCTCCTGGGTTCTCCAGTCTCCTAAATTCTTTCCCAAGTTCAAGCAAACTTAAAATAACCCATACAAATAACACCCAGTGGTATTACCCAATAGGTAACTTTTCCTAAAGTTCTTTTATCAGTTGCCTTTATGCATATTAGGACCTATATGGCTTTGTATTGGAAATTCTGAGAATCACCTCTATTGATGGAATTTATGCCCCAGATAGCTCTAGCTTCATCTTCCCCAGCTGGTAGAGGATAATGTGAGGAAGCCTCTACGATTATTTCAGATATAAGATCTAATGAAGGGGCCAGACTGGCCAGAAGAGCAGACTTGGGGACCCAAGAATAGATTATTCCTTTGAAGCTTAGAATTGACAGGCTTGAATTCTGATATATTTGAATCCAAATGAGTAAGTTTGATTAAGGATAGGATAATTATTCTTTCTTCCTAAAAGAAGTGATGCAGTTTATGAAAGATTTGGGGAAAGGTTTACCTTAAAAAAAATCTACATATTATTCAATATCAAATCATTTTACCTTCTTCTTTAAGTTAAAACACAATGCATGACCTTCGTTTTTCCTTATCTGTCTTATTTGCCAACCCATCTCAGTTCATACATCATTGACCTCCACCTGACCTCGCGAGGGAGCTTTACATTTAGCCGAATAAAACGTGGCCTCTACATAGTTTGATCTGAGGAATCTGAGTGTATTAGTTTACTGTCACCGCTACAAACTAATTACCACAAACTAAGTGGCTTAAAATAGCATAAATTTATTATCTCACGGTTCTGTAGGTTAGAATAAACTCAACCCAGATCCTTCTTTTTTGTTGAAGACAAAGACTGATCGTTGTTCACTCTTGTTCACCCAGAACCTAAGACAGTGTCTAAAATATAGTAGGCACAGAATAAATATTTGTTTAATAAATGAAGGATTCACCGTTTACAGTAATTTTGGCTTTTGCTGAGTATAGTGCTTATATTATTGCCTTGTGGTATGGCTAACAAGGCTTCTTGTAGATTTGTTTCAATGAAAGAGAGACCAAGTCCCACATCGGGCTCCCTGCTCAGCAGGGAGTCTGCTTCTCCCTCTGACCCTACCCCCTCTTGGGCTCTCTCTCTCTCACTCTCTCTCTGAAATAAATAAAATCTTTCAAAAAAAAAAAAAAGTAAGAGACCAAACTAAATTAGACCCTTTTCCCCGTCTATTACTCTTTAAAAAAAATTTTTTTAAGAGAGTTTTTAAATTCAACTGTTACTCATAACAATTTGAAACTTTGGCAGTACTAATTAAGTATAATATACAACTAGAGAGGGGCGCCTGGGTGGCTCAGTTGTTAAGCATCTGCCTTCGGCTCGGGTCATGATCCCAGGGTCCTGGGATCGAGCCCTGCATCGGGCTCCCTGCTCCTCGGGAAGCCTGCTTCTCCCTCTCTCACTCCCCCTGCTTGTGTTCCCTCTCTCGCTGTCTCTCTCTGTCAAATAAATAAATAAAATCTTAACAAAAAAATCCTTTAATTAAAAAAATATATATATGCAACTAGAGATAAAGTGGAAAGCAAACACCAGAGCATCGGCACAAATAAAACACCCTATACATCAATCCTCAAACATTTTCCATCTTTGCTCTCTGTAGGCATAACTTATTTAAATGTGCGCAAAACTGCTCGATTAGGGTGAGAGATGTGTTACCATCTTTCTGGCTTGAATGAGCTTGCATCTTCAATCAGGTATGAAAGCACCCATTTCTCTAGTCTGAGAAATCTAACCCACTTTGTGCCTAAAAGCAAGTGTGAGCCTACTCTGAGTCTTCTTTAGCCTTCTCTACCCCCTTCCTCTTTAACTGTAGACAAAAGGGGAAAAGAGACCATTGGATCACAACATGAATCCACTGTTTCCAGAACATACTCTGAAGACCAGCTTTCTCCCTCTCATTCAGAATTCTTCCATCTCTGAAATGTAGCTATTTTCCCTTAGAAATGAAAAGCTGACTTAATTTGGTTAAAGTATAACCAAATTTTTTTGCCAGGAACACTTTCTAGAACATATTTAAACATTAAATAACCTATTTTTTTAAGTTTTGAGGCAGGATTAAAAAGTCTCCACTTTTTAATTTTTACTCTTTCTAGTTTCAAAATATTTTATTCTAGTTTCAAAATTCAAAACATCTTACTCTTTCTAGTTTCAAATACACATGCACTGCACAAAATAAAGCAAGTTGCAAAGAGGTGAAGAGTTATATGCTTTTTAAAAGTTATAATGCTGGGCACCTGGGTGGCTCAGCCACTTAAGCATCTGACTCTTGGTTTTGGCTGAGGTCATGATCTCAGGGTCATGAGATCGAGCTTCATGTCGGGTTCCATGCTGAGGGTGGAGCCTGCTTAAGATTCTCTCTCTCCCTTTTTTTTTTTTTTTAACATATAATGTATTATTTGACTCAGAGGTACAGGTCTGTGATTCATCAGTCTTACACAATTCACAGCGCTCACCATAGCACATACCCTACCCAATGTCTATCACCCAGCCACCCCATCCCTCCCACCCCCCACCACTCCAGCAACCCTCAGTTTGTTTCCTGAGATTAAGAATTCCTCATATCAGTGAGGTCATATGATACATGTCTTTCTCTGATTGACTTATTTCACTCAGCATAACACCCTCCAGTTCCATCCATGTCGTTGCAAATGGCAAGATCTCATTCCTTTTGATGGCTGCATAATATTCCATTGTGTATATATACCACCTCTTCTTTATCCATTCATCTGTCGATGGACATCTTGGCTCTTTCCACAGTTTGGCTATTGTGGACATTGCTGCTATAAACATTGGGGTGCACGTACCCCTTCGGATCCCTACATTTGTATCTTTGTGGTAAATACCCAGTAGTGCAATTGCTGGGTCATAAGGTAGCTCTAATTTCAACTTTTTGAGGAACCTCCATACTGTTTTCCAGAGGGGTTGCACCAGCTTGCATTCCCACCAACAGTGTAGGAGGGTTCCCCTTTCTCCGCATCCCCGCCAACATCTGTCATTTCCTGACTTGTTAATTTTAGCCATTCTGACTGGTGTGAGGTGGTATCTCATTGAGGTTTTGATTTGGATTTCCGTGATGCCGAGCGATGTTGAGCACTTTTTCATGTGTCTGTTGGCCATTTGGATGTCTTCTTTGGAAAAATGTCTGTTCATGTCTTCTGCCCATTTCTTGACTGGATTATTTGTTCTCTGGGTGTTGAGTTTGATAAATTCTTTATAGATTTTGGATACTAGCCCTTTATCTGATAAGACATTTGCAAATATCTTCTCCCATTCGGTCAGTTGTCTTTTGGTTTTGTCAACTGTTTCTTTTGCTATGCAAAAGTTTTTTTATCTTGATGAAGTCCCAGCAGTTCATTTTTGCCTTTGTTTTCCTTGCCTTTGGAGACGTGCCTAGCAAGAAGTTGCTGTGGTCGAGGTCACAGAGGTTGCTGCCTGTGTTCTCCTCAGGAAAAGAGTTTCTTAAAGGTTACAGTTTCTCTCCAATCTCCCTCTGTCTTGTCATATCTAGCGTCTACCCACAAACACACTCTCTTGGGCCCAGGAGGATGGATGAATAAACCAGATGCAAATTCTCATAGCTTCATTAGAGAGCAGCAACGCAAGGACAGGAAAGAGCTACACGTGCCTGAATGCAAAGCAGAGTCAAAGTACAAAGTACTTAGAGAACAGACTGGCAGGTGCATGAGGGAGGAAGTGTGCTCACAGACAGTCAGCATTTGCTGCGTGTGCATGTACCAGCCGGGCTTATTTACTATTTACGAGCCCCCGGGAACTCTAAGATTCAGCCAGAGAACAGAAACTTCTTGAGCATCTCTTCTCCATGCATTAACCTAGACTTTCTTTCTATAAACTCAACCCAGATCCTTCCTTTTCCTCTTCTGCTCCTCTGATGACATCCTGATTAGCATCCTGACCGATGTTTGAATCTTTGCCTCAAGGAAAAGAAAAAAAAAGTTCCTGAGTTGGTTGCCTGTTCTCAACCCCCTACCTAAAAATTTAGGAGTGACATATTTTCTAGGCACAAGGGAAGTCCCCAAACTCCAAACTCCCCCTATTTGCATGCTGATGCCTGGAATTCTACCATCTGAAACTCATCTGTTAGTTTAAGGCTTGCCCCTTCTTAAAACACCAAGCTCCGCCTTTTAATAGAGGTGAATTATTCTTCGAGTTTCGCAGACGTCTGTACAATAAGGATCTGAGAGTGAAAGAAGGCTCTAAGCACCTGGGAAGTTAAAGGAGGACAAGTTCTGGACCAGAAGAGGGCGCACTCGCAGACAAATCACGCAAACCCCAGCCTGACGCAGGTCTGGTTCCTTACATGGATGTCAATGTATGCCGTTTCACTTTCACGGTCAAGACACCTGTCAAATCAAAACTGTCGATCCAAATGGTCAAGCCACAAATTTTAAGACATTTGAAACTGACAAGAGCCAATTCAGTGAGGTAAGATGTGTAAAACATTCTTGCACACAAATAAAATTATATGTTTTATTAGTTCTGGTATTATCATCTAACTGGAGAAGGATCAATTCCCAAGATGCCTCCTACCATTCCCCTACAATATACATAAAGGAATTAATGTTTACCTATTATTCATGGAGCGTTGTGCTAGACAGCACAGTGGCTGTTTTATGTAATAAGCACGGTAATCTGCCAGGTGGGTATTTCCAATCCCAGAGCCACAAATTGCTGATTGATAATTTATGGATTTCACTTGTGCTGTCACATCCTCCTTCTCTAAATCTACCAAAGGTATGCTACTACCTTAAGATCGATTAATATTTAATTTCACATCTATTTGGCACAATAAGTACAGGAATTAAATTATATAATATATGTAATTTGTGGAATTTATATTAGGTTTCCATCTCTCTGTGTGGTTCTTGGTGCAGACTGAATTCTCTGTTTTATGGCAAGGGCAGAGACCCCTCTGTCTCAAGGAATGAATATCTCCTTTTCTAAGTTCAGAGAGTCCTTATACCTTTATAATAAGAGTTCAGGGATTCCTGTTACGTCAAAAATCCCTGATGATAAATCATTCTAATTTGTTTGTAAAGTAATATTCAGGGTAGTATATCCCTATGCCTCTCCTTCTGGTGTCAACTTATCAAATAGAAAATAGAATCTATGGTGCTAAGAAATCCTAGCCTTAAACTGTGAATGTCCTATCTCAAGGCTATTCTCTAAACTGAATTTTTAAAGACAAAATAAAAGAAATCAAAAAGAGCCTCTTGATTGATGCTTCAATCTCAGGAAGACTAAATCCCCAACATTACCTCTACAACCACCTTCCTCTGAACTTGCATATCTCTCATAGGGGACTCAGTTTTTCTGTATTTAGCACATGTCAACGTGGAGTCCATGACATACTCCATCCATGCCCAAGAGCCACCATTGGTAATATGCCCCTCTATAGGAGCACTCACATGGTGCC